CTTATTTTAGTAACTGCTATCAGAAGCTGAAAGACGCGCGAACCAGCCACGAAATCCACTGGTGCATGCGCATGCTGCCATTTACTCCAAGCTGAACGTCCCTATCTCTATATATATCTTGTACTAGACAATGAAAGGTCAGATTTTGGTTGGCTGAATTCAGAATAAACAAACTCGTGGAGTTTTGTTTATGCGTGAGTCTTGAGAGGCTTGCAACACTTGTTCTTTCAATTCCTGAGGGAGTTGTAGAACGCCGAACTGTGGTTCACCCAGTTCGTGCATTCACGTCTATAGGGCGTGATTGCGTGGGCAGTTTCGTCGGTACGTGGAAGGGTGATTGTCTCGGTAGTTCGTCGCGTGGACAGCCTCGCGGTGCACTACCTCTTCACCAGGTCACGCAGCGACAAGTTATCAAGTTCGCGGATCCTACGAGAAGATCGTGCCACACAACTTGCTACACGCGTTGCATAGGCTTGTGCACATCAGTAAGCGAGGTGCTACGTGTATACAGGCCCGTTCCACGTACAGAGCTAGGCCATATAAGCAGTTTTGGATGCGAGGTGTTATAGATGATATCAGAGCATCAACACTTGCTGCATATGCCCGTGGAGGGGTGTATCAAGGGGTGGTCCTTTACATCTGCCACATATATGTGGTGAGCTGTTGAGAGCATCAGCCCTTAAGGGGGGGTGAATGTAACACCCCAGCCCATTAGTAGTCTGTAGTAGTTGTGAAGTTGACCTATGTGGCCCAAGTGGCACATGTGGAGTTATTGTTGGTGGGTTTAGTACCACCTTGGAAGTTTAGGAGGGTGAGGGTCAGCTTATAAGCCTTGTCGTTCCAAACGTAGCACCTTCGGGTTAATCCTTTTACACGAAGCGTGGACAAAAGTGTAAGCAAGGTGCTATATGTATGCAGACCAGTTCTACGTGTGGAGCTTGGCCATATAAGCAGTTTTGGATGCGGGGTGTTACAGTGGGCGGCTTGGTAAGGAAGCTGGCATCCCGAGGAGAGGAAGGAGGAGTGGCGTCGGCTGAGGGTGGTGTGCGATGAGAGGCATTGGCCAAGGGAGCAGCGGGTGGAGGGCAGAGGCGACGACGAGCCAGAGACCGACGCCTTCTCGATGCTCGTGACTCGCACGGCGGAGGAGATAGGTCATATGGCCTGACTGCCCGAGCGGGTTCATGAATCTTCACGAGCACCCAGTTTTCCTTCTTAATGTGAAATAGACCAGCTATGGACGGTTCAACTCGATCCAACGACTAACAGGTTAATAGGGGACGTAGCCTAATCGGGTGTCTGAGCTTGGCTGATCTACCATTACCCTTATTTTTGTATACCATTTACTGATCCCTCTACGCCACGACGATGCATTTTTTGGGCCACACGATCCCACCTCGCCGCCATCCCATTTCGTGTACGAAACCAAGACGGAACCATGCAAAACATGTACGTCATGCATTGGAGACTTGTACTTGTACATGCCAACACATGCAAACATGTTGCTTGCATGTCCTAGCAGAGTACCAGCTTAGAGGCCCGGCAGGCCGAGACCCGAGACAGGAACCCTGACGCGGGGCGCTTGGTGCTACTTGGAGGCCATCAGGCCAGGAGTTCATCAGGATAAGGGCCGTGCAGCCAGATCTGGCGTGGAGTTGACCTGGAGGATCATGAGAGCGGTGAGCTCGCAAAGGGATGACACAGGACTAGCGTCCAGATCTGGCGTGGGGTCCTGGGTCCAGCTGGCGCCAAGGGGTCGGGGTGGTGGACGGCTAGCAGTAGGAGTCGGCCAGAGAAGATGAAGAATGAGGTCATCCATGGTGCTCCTCACCGGAAAAGAGAAAGAAGAGTTAGGGGAGCGATCAACGGGCACGGATTTGCGCAACCAAGTATAGCACGATGTAGAGAACGAAGGGAGCTACCTTATGGTGGTGATGGTTGATGCCGAAATGCGATAGTTTGGTCAGAAAAGCTCGACGGAGAGTTCGCTGGGAACCTAGCTGTGGAGAACTTCGGCTTTAGATGTAGGAGGCTACGGGTGGAGGTGTGAAAACGCATTGTACTTCTGTAAGGAGATCATCAGCATATATATTGGTTGGGTTTTAGATAGGTGAAAAAACGAGATATTTTATTATTTTTAGAATTAATTAATTTCATGAATAAAATAATTCTAAAAAAGTCTAGAATTATTTAAGTCGCGAACAACACTCCGAATGCTCCGAAAATTTGGAAAAAATTTCAGAGACATTTTGGAGTATGAGGGACCCAAACAATGTATTTGGAGCTTATGAAAAAATATTTTGGAGCATCTAAAAATTAGATTATACTCGCAGAAAAGTGGAAAAGTTCTAGAAAAGCTGAAATAATTCTCGGGATGTTTGTAGAGATAGGTTGATGAATGATGAACTCAAATGAGTGATTGGAACTATAAATAAAAGATTTTGGGAAGCTCCAAATGAAGGCTTAAGATGGGAAACAAGGGATTTGATGATAGAAAAAGACCGATACAAGCCGAAAAAAGATAAACGACTTACTAAACGTGTTTTGAAAACTTTACACACTCACAACACAAAGTCAAGCAACAAGCAAACATTAACATCAAGCAAAAGCATGTCAAATTAAATTGAGAAAAGATTGAAATTTCACATTTTTCTACGTCTAAATTTACGCTTGCTCAAACTAAACTTAGTAAATTTTATCCAAATATTAAAATCATTCAGTTTATTTAGCGTTTTCTCACCACAACCCAAAACCGAAAATTTTGGGGTGTGACAAACAGCACATGCCAAGCCCTCATCAAGGAAGATCTGCAACCACCAAACCAAGGTATGGCTTCTGCATCTATAGGTACAAACATCAACTTGTTGCAAAGACAGATGATACACAACGCTACAAGGACTACCCCAATGCCTCCCCTTTATAGGACCATGCTACCGGCACTTCTACCTGGACCAAGGTGTTACTCTGATGCCTCAACGGCCCCAGATCAAACTCATCATTTCTCCAGGAATGCAGGTCTTGGTGTATTCATCATATATACCCAGACGCAGCAAACACAAACTGTGTTCCTACAGGCGACAATATGCAACACCACATTAGTTCTAATGGCGGAGGTGACAGCTCTATCTCTAGCTGCAATGGCGGCATCCTTGCTCAATGTCCAGTCACCCAACTACCTGGTGGACAACCAATAGTTGGTGACCTTCTTCAATGGTACATAACATTCCACAGCACCAGATTGGACAATCAAACCCTTCACTCAGAAGTTCATCAACTACAACTCAGCAAACACATACAGGATCTTCAAGGTTCCTAAGAATCTGAACCAGACGACGCATCTATTAGCACAGTAGGCAAGAATAACGTCGCAAACAGATCATCACTCTATAACCATATCCTGTACAAATCAGAGTCATGTAAACATGTGCCCATAAAGAGAGGCACTCTCTTCTGTACGTTGGGAGTGTTTCTCCCTTCAAACAGCTCGATGCTGTTGAATAAGAAATGCTAGTTATGAAAAAACCCTTTCCACCAATGAATGACTGAATGAAAGCAGTTAAGTTTTCATCAATTTCATCTTTTTTCGAATACACAAAAGACTTGTGTATCGTTGTATTAAGATAGAAAGGAAGCACAAACGTGTTTACATCGTGCTGTCTTTGCTCAATACAACCAGACTGCTTTTTCGTTAACCAAGCTTGGGCACACCATGAATGGTTTTTATTACTGGATCATATTGATGGACTTGGACTTAAAGCAACTGGATTGGATTACATTGCCAATTAGTCATTTTGTATGGGGTAGGATTGAACTTCGGATTTTGTCTCCTGAATTTTCAATGGATTTCTCTATATGTATTTCGATCCTGATAATCTATTGAGATGTCTAATAGTATATATGCATGCCATTATCAGAACTTTGTTGCTTATTAATTCCATGGTTAGACAGTACGATTATTGCATCTCCTGGCATAGGGGCGGTGGAGTCTATCTCCTCAATTTGTAATCATCACCTATTAACCTTATCCCGCATCAGCTAAAAACGGACACAGGGGGCGGTGGAGCCTATCTTCTCAATTTGTAATCATCACTTGTTCACCTTATCTCGCATCAGCTAAAAACAGGCGCAGCAGAGCGAGCCTATCGTGCTTGTCCTTCCCAATTAAGGGAGGGATAAGCCTTTGTTTTGGAGTGCCAATAATGTAATGACAAAAATATTGATCTGCAACTGTGGTCCGTTACCATGGGAGGAGAATCATCGGCAGTCCCAGTCCACCTACATGCTGCCCCCAAGGTCTCCCCTCTCTTTGTGTACTCCCTCCGTCTAAAAAAGAATATAATTATGGGATCCGTATCGGTCAAAGTAGCTAAAATTTGATCAAGTTTATAGCAAATATAATTAATATTTATGTCTCCAAATAAATTTATTATGAAAATATATTCTATGACTAATATAATGATAATAATTTTGTATCAGGAATGTTAGTATTTTTTATACAATTTTGGTTAAAGTTCAAACTGAATGACTTCTTCACGAAGCGATGCATTCTTGTGTGGATGGAGGGAGTATGAATTAAAAGCCCTGTCCTGTTTTTTTTTAGCTGATGTTGGTTGCATACTAATTTAAGTGCATAGGCACGGGTGGTCTGGAATGCGCAGCGCCGACGGTCATGCATGGCTGGTTAACAACCGTGTATGGCTACCATTAGGAACCTAGTAAAATAGGCATGCCGCTAGGCCATGGGACAGGTTACACACCCCTATTTTGGGGGATTTTCTTCCTCCTCGGTCACCTTGATATTGGGGGAGCTTCACCTCCCCGCCTTCTCTTGTCGACGTCTCCCTCTCGCTCTCCTTCCTCCAGCACCAGCGGCAGCTGTCGGAGCACGACAGCTGCAGTGAAGAATCATCCTTCAGGGGGAGGAGGAAAGGGGACGACGGCACGAGTTTAAGCCAACAATCTCTCGTCATATCGTAACAGAGAGCACAACGACAGAAGCCATGGGCAGTAATGGCAGAGAGCATAGGTACGGAGTCCCACGCCCGCCGCCTTTATCACTTTACAGGGACTGGGAGGAGGAAGAGTTCGTAAAGACCGGCAAACACCGGCAGTCGCCGCTGGAACAGTCAACATCGATTGCGGCCACAGCCGGCATTGCCAACAAGAAGAGGTTGTCGAAGCAGCTGTCCATGAAGGAGACCACCCGGGAGGTCAAGTGGGAGAAGCGGAGGCGGCAGATACAACGACAGAGGAGCAGCATGCGCCTGAACGAAGCCGACGACAGGGCCGGTGGCAGCACTGTTTGTCCTGTTGACAGCGAGGCGAGCTCGAGCGCGGAGCGGGTGGCCAAGCGTATAACCGACGAGGACCTCGATGAGCTGAGAGGATCCATGGATCTTGGCTTCAGGTTCGACGAGCAGAAGGGCGGGCAGGACCTCTGCGACACCCTCCCCGCCCTCGACCTCTACTTCGCCGTCAACCGGCAGCTGTCCGAGCCCAAGATGCGGTTTTCTACGACCTCAGCGCAGTCTCTGTCGGCCACCAAGTCGTCGCCCAACCTCTGCGGCACGCCCACCCCAGGTAGCCCTAGTGCTCACTCTAATAACCCCTTGGAGTCATGGAAGATCTGCAGTCCAGGTAATTTGAGTTGCAGAAATTTTCCATGATTTTGTTAACTTTTGCAGTTTCTTATATTGGGAACGAACAGTGTATCTTGGCATTGAGTTGTGCTGATCGTTTTTTTCATCTCCTTTGTCGATTCTTGATGCAACAGGAGATAACCCACAGCTTGTGAAGACAAGGCTTAGGCACTGGGCTCAAGTAGTGGCTTGTTCAGTGAAGCACTCGAGCTGATCCTCGTCAGTGTCCTATCCACGCTCTTCTTCCATACATACTCGTACAAGTGGTTGCCGCGTTAGATCGATGGCGATGGATTAGTCGTGTCCGAGAGAACTAGAATTGACCTTGTTGCTCTGATGTCTGTGGTGACAATGTTGTGGATAGATTTAGAGCGTCGTGTTGGCAAAAAAAAAAAATCCATATTTGTATGAGCGGTCCATGTTTTTCAAGGACAGTTCGATGAAAAAAAAATCTATGGACCAACACCGCATCTATGCGTGTCTGATTGGAGGTATGTTAATTCAATGTGTGGCTTTTACCACAAAAAGTTGAGTTGGTCATGAATGCCATTATTCAACATTAGGACGACCATGCTCAGGCTAGATAGTGGCTAAGAAAGAAGAGGCGGTTGGGTGGAGGTCAGGAGGGGTGTGTGTGTGGTGGGGGGGGGGTGTTTGTTGTTGTGGTTGGAGCCCCCAAGTTTCTTTCTCTTCCACTATTACAACCCTTAATAACTTAGGTAATCTAGTATATAACTAAACAGTAAATAATCCTATTTCCCCTCCCTTTCTCAAACTTAGGTTGCATTTGGTTTAGGAATAAGGAGGGACAAGTCAAGTTTTCGGGGATGGCAGCATCCCATATTTGTGTTTGGTTGTCCATGTTTAGTGCCTGGTATGAGGGATTGGGAGAGAGAAGATAGATAGTCATTGTAGACCCATTATGCAATCTTCATGTGGGACCTGCACATCATCTATCACCATCTTCTTCTTCATTCTTCTCTATGCGCTACACAGCTCTGCCCAACACCCCATGTCCGATATACAGGCGAACAACGCCACAGCCTCTGCTCTCAGCCATAGTGGTCCTATGTAGCCTAGCTCTAGCGCTTCCTCCCCGCCACCGCTACTGCTCGACACCCCTGACCCTCGTTACTGTCCACCATGGTCATCCATGCCTTGATTGCCATGGCCGTTCTTTCCCCTGCTTCTACCCTCTAGCGCATTCGTCGCCGGCAGTGGCCTTGCACACATGTGGCACCCTCACTTGGTGCATCCGCAGTCACGCTCCCCTGCCCTACGCATCAGTCGATGCCTCGCCTGTCACAATGCAAAGATGAGGAGGCTTTACAAACACTGATGATGTTGAAGAGGCTTGTTTATATATATTTTTCATCAAACTAAGCCAATATTTTAGCTCATCTAGTTACTGAGCTAAATGCCAGTAGCACATTTTCACATGGCACAATCGATGCAACCAAGCCCAAAGGTAGCAATCAGCCCAACTAGCAAACAAAAGGGTCCCCACTCCCCTTCTCCCTAACCGCCAGCAGGGATGCCAATAGGTACGCAATCACATACTGCACACACCAAGAGAAGTTTTACATGTTGGGTTACTCATACCCTATGCGGGTAGGAAAGTTTACCCATACCTCCATCTAGGCAGGTAATGCTACCCCATGGGTAACTCATAGACGATTTCACACCCGAGCACATAGGAATTGGATTACTTAATGGTCAGGGATGAGGAAGAGTATCAGTGGTTATCATCTTGTGACGCCTTGGAGTTCACCACAATGGTCCTGGCGGAAGTAGGGAAGTAGGCGTCGAAGGGTTAATCTGGGACTCTAGGTGGAGGGCAGAGCCCCCAAACGTCCGAGTCCCTGTATCTCCGATGGGTCGACCCTCGACTCTTGACTCTTGAGCCCCCGATGGAAACAAGTAGAGTGGCCCCTGAGCCTAACTCCCCAAGACTCTGACAGTTACAGGCGTGCCTAACCCCGTGTCTCAAGTCCTGTCTGTGACAAGTGGACTGGACCTTGACTCCCTGAGCCCTAACGGGATGGCCGATGGTGTGCGGGCGGTTGGACAGATAAGAGGGTTGGAGGGAGGCAATGAAAGATAGGGTACAAGATCAGCCGACCAATATATATGACAATAGATTTTAGTTGGGCTGGGGCCAAATACTTAGGCCATATGGGCAAATTGATACAATTACTTATGTTATATGAGTAATAAATATTTAGGCGAGATCGGGAAGAGCCAAACACAGGATCCACTAGTTCCGGTGGGGAAATAATCTATATCTATCCAAATAGATTCCTCTAAACCGAGTAAGCTAAATAGAAATCCTAATCCAAATAGAAAAAAAGAGAGTATAAATCTGTAAATGTATCTATAAATATGAGTCTGTTTGGTGTCTGTCCATCATCTCGTTTTTTTCCTTTCTTTCGTTGTCCATTTTCTCTGTTGTTTGTCTGTTTTTTCTATTTGGTTTTTGTTTGTGTCCGTTGTTTTTTGTTTATTATCTTTTTAAATTTTTTTTGCTGTTCTTATTATGTTTTACCATCATTTTTGTTCTTATTTTCATTTTTATTAAAAACATAAAAATTGAATAATAAATACAATATTAGTAGTAAATAAAAGTTGTTGATGTAATTTTTATTAGGAATAAAATTTATTCTTGTTAGAACCTGAATTAGCTGATGTTTCAACTATTCAAACCAGCAACGCTTACAATAAGACTCACACAAAAAAAAACGCTTACAATAAGACATTGTCATATTGTTACAACTATTAGCTTGTATTATGGATATCGCGATCATAAAAATATTAAATAAATTTATAGAAAGTATAAAACATAAATAGACATGTACCATTCCCGTCATCGTCTTCCATGAATTGGTAGCTTTTTTAATTCCGTTGCAGAACACAGACATGTTTGCTAGTAGACATAATAATTATAGTATTGAAATTAATTACTTATATTTTATTTTACTCATTCATTTTTCTCATATTGCACTTAACAACAACTAGAAATAAGAAGTACCAAAAAGTACCAACGCAATTTTTTTCGAATTATAGTACAGTCAACACTCATACAAAAAATTACATTTATACGTTAACATTTCTGAAAATAAACACCACCTTATAGTACCATAAATTTCGACAACATTTGCTCGGACTTCTTATTTTCAGTTATCAGCTCCAAATACAAACGTTCCGATAAAGTTCATGCAACAAGATGCTACATACACACATTTTTTAAAAACTGTTCTAAATTAAGATAATAACTATAACATAGGTACGTACATGTATGCAATAAAAAAATACACACCAAGCTTTCGATCGAGTCGGGCGAACAAAAGAGGGATTTGGCATCAGAAACCGGGGACGAGCACCGTGGAGAACCAGATCACCAGGTCGTCGGCGAGTGCCTGTGCTTCACGGCTGGTGTGCTTGGCCGCCACCGGCTGCTTGTTCCCATCGGCCACATAAACTCGGCAGAGCGGACAGGTCCGTTTGCAGGACAAGAGCCATCGGTCGACGCAGTCCCGGTGGAAAACATGCCGACACGGCAGACGCCGGGTAGCCTCGCCGAGCCGAATCTTGGACAGGCAGACACGGCACTCGTCCGCTGGGCAACCGCCGTCCTCGCCGGCCTGTGTTGCCTCCTCCGATCTTGCCTTGATGCACATAACCTTGGAGATGTAGGATAAAAGATCGCTCATGGTTGGTATAGCGCCTAGCGCTAAGTGCTGAGTATATGAGAATATGTAGAATGGGTTCTCGTCAGAGGTGTGGTTCCGTGGTCAGGGATCACAAGGTAAGAGGAGTGGTTGCTAATCTTGGTGTGGGTTGATAGATCCACATTCGCAGCTGGTGCACCTACACTTCAATGTTTCTTTTCCACAAAGCAAGGATAAAGCAGGTGATGCACACAAAGGCTGACGTTCACTGCAGCATGTCGTGTTAAGCGAGCAAAAAAGTCGATGGAAGAGCATTACCTAATACTGATAGTTCTTTAATTCTTATAGTTCTTTTTTTTTGTTGTGAGCAAAAACATTATGGTTTTCCGCTATAGAAACAACGAGAAAACGAGATCTTCTCAACACGAATCTTTGGGAGGACCTCTAGCCTGCAATCGGTGCAAATCGTCTGATTTTGTCCACCGTCAGATTTGATCAAGCCATCCAAATCTGAAAGCAGACACGGCATCGAGCCTCCGTCCTCGCCTGTGGCTAGGGGCATCGGCAGCACAGTGTCCCGCGGAGGAACAGCAGAGCCACCCACGGCGGCTGCCGGCGGACGCTGTAGTGCCGCGCTGCACGGTTGTGGCAAGGCGCTGCACAGGATAGAACGTGGCGGAAGTGATCGGCGGCGACTCGGATCGAGGCCAAAGCAGAGCAGGCGACCGCGTGACGGCGTGAGCGACGGCGCGCAGGAAGCTTGTGGCTGGGACGGGTGAGCGCTGGTACGGGGCCCGGAGTGCAGGAGGTGCAGGAGGTGAAGGAGAGAGAGGGTCGTGTGGGGGCGTGCTCAACAATCGCCATCGGCCAACGACGAATGATGACGACGGTCAGCAGGAGTTCGAGCAGAGGCCGACGAGATTGGGGTACGCGTGGGTGATGAACTCCGGCGCTGAATCCACAATGGCGGTGGTCGAAAAAGATGTACAGCGTTTGCGTCTTGATGAACCTCACGGCGGCATCCTCCGACAACGACGTCGCTCGTCTTCGACGAATCGGCGTCAGTTTGGGGAAGAAAGGCTGACCTCGGTCCCGGTGGTAGATAGGCCAGGGAGAGATGCCGGCCAGGCTGCTGCTGGTGGCCATTGAGCAGTGGCCCAACAGAAGGGAGGCTTGCCGTTGCCGGGCTGGCCGGCGAATAGGTAGCTGGGCTGATGGTGGTGTGGCCTGCGGGCCGGTCTCTGGACTGGGGTCCAACCAAAGGAGGAGGCGGGTTTCGCGGCTGGTGCTGGGCAGATGCGTCTGGGCCAAGCCTAAAGAGGAGGGGGAGGCACCGGTGATGAGGAAAGAAAAGAGCAGGCTAAACATAGAGCAGGCCAAAAAATAAAGGAGAGAAAAAATAAAAAGAAAAAAGTCTTTTGTTTTGACAGTGCTTGATGGATATGTCTCCGAACTCCCTCCACGAAGAATAGCTTTTATCGTAAATCGCAGCCACTGAAGTTGCCGAAAAACCTTCGTTCCCCATGGTTTCGACCACCATCAAGCAATCTAACTGAACAAGTACTTTGCTAGCTCCGACTTGTTGAGCTAACATTAGGCCGTCCTTCAAGGCATACACCTCCGCCAGATGTGGATCAGCTACATTGGGGATGTAGGTGTTCGTCGCTGCCACAAAATCGCCTCCCCATTCTCTGATGATCACTCCCGTGGAACCTGCGCTAGACACCGGATCAAAGGACCCATCCACATTGACCATAAGTCTTCCTTCGGGTGGTTTGGCCCAACCTTCCCATAGGGTACACCTTTCTGCATTGCCAGCATGTAATTTGTTGAAATTGTTACAATAGCTACAGCAGTTTGGTGTACCCCACTGAACATTCTCCCCATGAGCAATCTGTCTTCTTTCCCACCACAGTTACCAGCTTCCTGTAATTATTAGTTCTACGAATCCCACACCATTTAACTCCTTAATAGAACCCCCACAGCGAATTACTTCTTCTAGCACAACAGAACCTGATCTATCAACTCTCAGGATGTTTTCGATTCTATTCCAAAGTCCCAGTTGCATCCAAACTTCTTTTGATCTCGTCATATGCTTGATATCCTCGCACCTTGATGAGCAAACTGGGCAACTCCCCACATTCGTAATATGTCTGTTAGCTAGTATCGCCTGGCAAGGGATAACCCCATGGAGGATTCTCCAACCAAAAAAATTTAATTTTTGCTGGAGTCTTCAGTTCCTAGAGTTTCTTCCAAACCAGATTATCACCCACTTGCATTCAGTGCTGCCATATTCCTACCAAATTTATGCACCCATTGGCAATGGTATGCTGATTTAACTGAAAATAAACCATTTCGATTGTGATGCCATGCTACTACATCGTCCCTTCCGATGTGAATCGGGATCTGCAGGATACGCTGAACATCAACAGGGTAAAATAAGGATCTAATTAAATCAATATCCCATGAACCTGTCACTGGGTAAATTAGCTCATCCACTGTTCTCACAATATTGTTTTCCCGTGGCGTTTGGATCTTCGAAATCTGACTTGACGGCAGCCAACAATCTTACCAAATATTTATTTGTGAGCCATCTCCCACACGCCATATATAACCCTTTTAAAACATTCTATTCCTGCCAAGATACTTTGCCGCGTGAAAGAACTCCCACTCTTTAAATGGGCATTCAAATTTTTTCATCAGGATAATGTTTTGCTTTGAGGACCCTGGCACCACTACTAAGAATATTCACTTTTATGACGAAAATCTTAATGACGAATCCAAAATTGTCATAGAAGATTGCTTTTTATGACGAATATTTCTATTTCATCATAGATCAGTGGTAACGATCCTGCAACCCTCCATTTTTATGACAAAATCAGGCAACATCACAAAAAACGCCATAGAAGAGTGCAATGTGAATAGAAGGAGAACAAGAGGAAGGCCGCAGAACACGATCAAGGACTTGATGAACAACATGATGATCTAGGACTTAAACAACATGGTCAACCTGATGAAGATGTTAATACTGTGGAAGTCATCAAGGACTTCCACACCAGTACAAAAAAGAGCTTGAGCGATGCTACAAGAGCAGCAATTATAAATACCTTCATTTTCTTTCCTTTAAATATACTAAACCCATTGCCATAAAAGAAGAAACACAACAGGAGCCTAATGTGGCAACATCATTTAATTTTAGAGTTGCAATTTTACACCATTCAATATGGTGCCTGCACATTGTGCTTATGTAATCTCTATTGGTAGTAGGCTGCAAAAGACCTATGTATTGTGCTAAGGAAATCCTATGCATTACTTTTCTTGGGTTTTCAGTTAAAGTCATCTTCCACTATCTGTAACCTAATGTTTTACTAACTAAATTTCGTTGGAAGCTATGAAAGCTATGCAAGCACAACCTGTTGTTGATGGGCAGCAACCAATGACTAGTGCTGATGTTGTTTCCAAGGTTCTCTGCCTCTACAAGGTCAAGCGTCCCTCCTAGACAAGCAGCAAAAACCTTTTTTTTGAAGAATGCTAATATCCTGAGAAGCTCCACCAGAGCAGAGACATCGGCGGAGATGACACTTCGGTAACAACTTGCTTGTGAACACACCAGGAAAATACATCTAAGCTCGCCGAACTAGTGGATGAACTGAAGGTGAGGACAAAAAAGGCTGAAAGGGAGTTTGAGGAATTCAAGCAACAGCAACAGGAGTACAATAGGCTCAGTGAGCTAGTCTTGCGCTTAAGCTCTCCTAGTAATTAACTCTCTGTCTTTAACTCCTGTGGCTTGATGCGGTGAACATTTGTGGTCTGTTGTGTGGACGCATGTGATGGTTTAATGTCGTGATACTCTGTCAATGGTTCGCTGCTGATGTGTGAAATGTTAATTGTGGTTATTTGATTGCCAGGCTGAATTATTATGTAGTCAATTTGTGGAGTAGTGATGGTCTTGAATTACTTCTACGACGAATTGATTGTACTCCATGCGGGAGAACAAGAACATGCCATGTGATCAAATAAAAATACGACACGTGGAGGAACCAGTGTATGACACATGAAATTGCTAGAGCACGACACGTGGGCTATTAAAAATCCGACACGTGGAAGGATGTGGCCGAATAAAAATGCGAAACGTGGACAAACAGTGCCTTCATGCATGGTCAAATAAGAAACGGCCACGTGGACCAATAAAAATACGCCACATGGTCCAATAAAGAAGTGACACATGATCCAACCGCAACACTGACATATGTGGCCATAGAAAACTGACATGTGGAACAAAAGGAACTCGACACGTGGTCCCGTAAGAACCTGAAACGTGCAAGAACCAGATATGGCCACGTTGTGCCATAAGAAGGTGACACGTACCCGAACCATCTCCAGTGACAACCGGCTATAGCATGTACACGTGGAAAGCATCTCCAACGGAAACAATCACCAGCGTGGCAGCCCCCTGCCACGCATGCCAAAGCAGTTCTATGACGTTCTGTTTTCATCACAGATCAAGCCACTTCTATGACGTTTTGCAAAAATCATTGTAGAATTTCAAGTGTGACGTGACTTCTATGACGAACCGGTTTTCATTATAAATTCGTCATAAAATTGAAATTATGACGAATTTGGCACATTCAGTGACGAAAGCTGATCGTCGTAGAAGTGGATATTCCTACTAGTGCACAGAGTGTCTGGATCACACAGAAGCCGCCATACTTGCTTCGCTAACAAGGCTGTATCAAAGCTTTATTTCCATATCTCTGAAGCTCATCCCCCCTCTTCCTTTTGGTATACAAAGCTTCCACCACGCCCGCCGGTGAATTCTCCTATGCTCCTCATCGTTGCCCCACCAAAACTGCGAGATGGCATCAGTAACCCCTTTACAGATTTTTTTGGGATTCTAAAGACCATCGCAGCAAAGGTTGGTATTGCTTGAGCAATGGATTTAATTAAAACTTCCTCACCACCCAAACTTAGCAGTTTTGATTTCTAGCCATTCGTCTTTGCACTAACTCTATCAATCAGATGTCTAAAGCAATCAGACTTTT